GCAGCGACAGTGCAGATAGTGAAGAGACACTTGAAGCAGCTCGTTACGACAGTAGTAAATCAGTCAACTTAAAAACATGGCGTAGTTTCGATGGGTTGCATAGCAATGGCGCTAAAACTGTGAAAATCTCTTCGGAGAACCTCAGCGAGGACAGCGGCTACAGTGATAACTTCTACAACTCAAAAATGAAGAGTTCCAGTATTCCTAACATGATGATCAATCATCATCAATCAACAACAAATAAAAACATTTATAAAACTCGTGTTGAGATTCGCTCCCAGGACGATGCGCTTGAGAAATACCGTCTGAAGATCGCAGATAGATTCGCGGCGTATGACGGCGATGTCTTCCAGACCTTCACGGGGAACTTTGGCGTGAGTTATCATGATTTAAGTAATGTTGATCAGTACGAGCATAGAAGTCCACTCATTGAGAGATTCATGCGTAATGGTAAACGTAGAAATATCACTACTGTTGTGGATGAAGCAGTCGGAGTAAATTTAGATCAGGTGACATGTGCGGAGACGGAATGTGGTAATTTTAGCCCGCTGGCGACGGCGACGAGCGTCCCGAATCTCACCGGCAGTGGCAACGCGGACGACGCGCCGTGCGTGGTCTCCAGCGTGCCGAAAGATCTCAATCTAGCGGGTGGGATAACATCCACAGTTAATTTTAATACCAGTGCATCAATTGCAACAATCAACTGTGACATATCAACGCTATCCAGTTTGGATTCGACTGATTCTGGACATTCGGAGGATTTCACCATGCCGAAACTATCGAGGTATCAACGTGCTGAATATGGAGATAAAATTACTATTAGATTAAAATATGATACGTCGAGTATAAGTTCAGCGAGTGACATGGAAGCGACTTCATCTTTTCGAAGAGAAGGTAGTTATCTGGAAGCTATGACTAATTCTATTGATATGAGTGATGAGGAGATAAAAAATAAAAAGTTGAAGGATAAAGGGATGACTATATATAAATTCGATCGTGAGAATGCTTTGAAAGCTATCTCAGAGACATCTATACAGAGTTTCGGAGTGAAAAGCATCGAACAACTTAATTTAGTTGCATCAACACCTATGAATAACATTAATAACAGGAATGTTATTAGTACACCGAATTTGGCTGACTTGGATTATCAATATCCGCCTAGGAAGAGTTCTTTGATCAACAGGAGTATAAGCACTAATGAAATTCAACAAAAAAACGATGAAAATGATAAAAATTTAGTGAAATCTTTAAGTAATAGCACAAAAGGCGTCCATTTCAGTCCGGTTATCTCTGAAGTAAACTGGAGGGATGATTCTGCTTCAATAACAACTGAACATGAAGATTCTAGTTGTAGTACAACTCCAGATCGTGATGTACAGGGTCCTGTTGTACCTCCAAGGAAATTATTCACAAGATCCCAACCGGAATTAACATTAAGACAACGTGTGTTGGTCAGTGATGATTCCACAGATGATAATGAAGGTATGAAACCTGCTGTAAGTGAAGAACTTGTCCGTCGTAGATATCAACATCATCAACTTCCACATGATGTTATTGCTAAGAGAAGGAGTGTGGAAGTTCCAATGCGGGAGAATACGAGTGAACACTGTGAAGCCCCCACTACACCGGCGCAACACGAGGAGAGGTACTCCAAAGTAAAACTCACTGGTTCAGTACAAGCGGTACCAGCGATGGAGCCGGTTGGTGTTGTTCAGCCGAAGAGCAACACGCGCGGCATCGGTGGATTTTTCTCTCGTATCGCCAGCTTCCGGTTTTCCACTCGTGCAGCTAAAAATCAAGATGAAAAGAAAAAACAACGTCAAACCACATCATTAAAAGAATCTGGAGTTAATAATAAACTACAATTTCAATCTACGACTGGACAACGTCTCGCTACGAAAGATGATTATATTTATATCCCACTCAAAGGACCGGAAGTGATTACCACTACTACGAATACTTCAACACCAGTAGTTGGATTAGGTGTACAAGAAAATGTAAAGTTTAGCAAAGTGCAAGTTGATGGCGTTGGCGTTGAAATAGTTGATAAGTTGAGCGCGAAACCGCCACTTCCGAAAATGCCGCCGCGCGTTGTCGGTGCATGCGTGAAGCGAACGGGTGGCGGCGCGCAGGTGCCGCGTGAACGGATCGATGTGGGTCGGGGGAGGCCCATGGAGCCGATGGGGTTGATCGAGACGGACCTCGACACTGAGGTGACGGTCATCACAAGCGGGCACGGCCATGCGAAGACGCGCAGTCTTATGAATCTCGGCCACGAGCCGCCGACGACAAACAACAACGCGGCGGCGGCTGCGGCTGCACCATTGCGTGCACCTAATAAACACCTGCAGCAGCATCGTCAGGGCAGGCCGCACAAGTCCATGGAGTTTCTGCTCGACAAGCAGAATCTCAAGGTTGTCGAGGTGAGTACCAAACATTTATAAACACCTATACACAATCAACTCATATGTATATGTATAACACACCCACGTAAAATCTTGCGCACTCGCGTTTCATACGCGTAAATCAACCCCATTGCGGAATCAGGAGTCGTGTTACTAACCTACTCTCGGTGAGTTGTGTCCTCGTCGCGTAAAACGTGAAAAATCACTCAAAAAATTGTTTTTTTCATTTTAAACCAAAAATAATTAAATTTTTGTTTATTTTAAAGCGTAATATAATACTTTGTGGAGTGCAACGCCTTGTTTTAGACTTTTACGCAGCGCACATCGATTGGATTTAATACTCGCCAGTGATAAATGATAAAAATGTGGGATTTCAATGTGAGTGTTAAAGTTTTTATCGTTTAAGTGTCAGCTGTTGAGTGTAATCGTAGTGTAATCATAAGGCACGAGTTATACGAGTTATACGAACCTTACCGGTCACCGGAAGAAGCGCCTTCCTCGTTTCCGCCTCGCGCGGACGCCCCAAACAGCCGGCGCGCCGGTTACGGTTATCTAACCGTGAGCCCCGTTGCGCGCACCGACCATAAGGTCTCCTTTTCAGAGGAAGTACAAAGTAGTCACATACAGAGTGTTTGTATGAGTAACGCGTTGTGTTTGTTGCAGTTTTGCTGTTTTTCAATTATCTAAACGCTGTGCGTGTCTGCACATAAATTATCTCGGCGGTATAAGCTGGGTTTTTACCACCCTCAGTTGGTGCCACCACGTGAGGTCGAATAACTTTTAGTTCTTCAACTGCAGCGAGGAAAAGTTCATAAATAACTCAAAAATGCAATCAGTTAGACAGTTTTTTCAATGATAATTTTTTTTATTCCTTTTAGGGAAAATTTAGGGATTTTTTAAAGGGAAAATTATATTTTTGTGAGTATTATATACAGAGTGAGCTAGGTATTTGTTAAATATTGCGTTAGTACGACCCTGATTGCTCCTAAAAGCATAAATTCGTAAATAACTCAAAAACTTAATAAATTATTCAACTTTTTCTTTTTTCATTTGATTCAATAATAATCTAGTCATTGTTAACCCCAAAAAATAAATTTTTATCATCATATTATACAGAATAATCAAGAAATTTGTAAAATATTTCCTTCCGCCGGCTCTGAGGACTTCCAAAGTCATTTTATTGACATCCGTTCAATAGAAATTGCATTCCCCACATTGGCGTGATGAATTTATGCCGTTTTGAAATGCGTACAATGCTTACGCTTCTTGCATTTCAACTTCAAGTTCTTCAATCGCCGCTTTCATTTGTAAATCAATCAAAGTTGTAAACTATCGCAGCGTAAACAGGGAAATTAACTCGGAATAAATTGAGTGAATAAGGTAATAAACTTATAAAATCTATACCTTTGGTCAGAGCTGGAATATTGATGAGTGTTTAAAGTTTATTACAAGTTCCGTGTTGTATCAATAAGTTATTAACTATCGAGGTCTACGTTCGATTGATTCACTTTTTCTGTCAAGGACTAGTTTTTCCTCTGTTTCTATTGCAGAGTAACATTTGTATCGATTTCCACTTTGAAATTACTACACAATCCTCAAAAGGCAATAGATATTGTTATTTATTAGGTTAAACCTTGTTTTTTAGGTTTTGAAAGTAGAAAATCAAAGATAAATCAATGATTTATAATGAAATTTAAAAGAAAATTTAATTAAAAGCTTGAAACATAAATTACAATTATTATTTAATGAAATCTTTCAAAATTTCGTTTGTAATTCTTTCCTAGAAATAAATCATCTTAATTCTTGATTATCTACGAAGTACATCTACAACTTTTACCTCTAGCCACGACGATTAGCTTTACTTAAGATTATTTTTAGTCTCTCCTTTCACGTACGTTATTTCTTTACTTCTGCAGTATTAACATTTACTTTACCTGCGTTTACTGCGCTTGCTCATACACCTCGTAAGTAATTTGATAGCTAGACGCATCATTATCATCAGCTAACGCAAACATCATCAACGAAACTTTTTACTTTTCCCATAACTACAAGTTGAAAGTCAGTTGCGTTATAAAAAGTTACTATATGCAACCAACACAGCATTTATATGCTTCTGCACGCGTAATAATAACCTTATAAATATTCAACGGTGTTCTCAATCTTTAAATGTAAGTACTCACTCTGTTATCGTCCGTGCAACTAAGCAACTGTTATGTACAACAAATAGAATCTTTGTTATGCGTGCCGTTGGCGACCATTTTGAGTATATGCATATGTATACGCAGAGATAGCTGAATTATACTTGCATGATGCAGGGATAACTGTAAATAATGAACGTACGCATCAATTTTACACCTACTGATCGATTTCATTCAGTTTAATCATCATGATATGCTAGAATATTCAAGAAATTAAAAAAATCAGGTTATTAGTTTCTAAAATCACCGCTAGGGTGCGTTTATGTGAGATAGTATCATGGCAACACTGTAAACACTCCACACGCGCAGTTTAGTTGTTGTGTTTGTTTCGTTCAGTTGTTTACTACGCCATTTTGAAATCATGACTGTGTTACTACTCAAAAGAATTACGGTAAGATAACAATCACCTTCAAATCTTTATTTAAATACGTTTATACATGGAATAAAAAAGCCCAACAGCTGTAAAGGCACACATGCCAATAGATAATTTGAATAATTGATGAGCGTATTTATTATGCAGTAGAGAATTGTATTTTCTGATGACAAAATCGTTACGCTTGGAAAACCTCTCCAGAATCTCATCAGCACTGCATAAAAGCATATTTTTAGACATAATTCACACAAAAACAAACAATACTCACTCATTCACAGAAGACACAGCAATAATCGCCTTTTGTGTCGTGATTTGTTCAATATCTATGTGTCTATACGTTGACAACGCTAACCTAACCTACGAATTCAAAACAAAACACAATTAATTTGTTTAAAAATTAAACATGAATTAAAACAATTACTTGAGATGTATCCAGGTGATTTTCCAAGGAAATAGCCACTAACCATGGTGGACGCGTTGATTTCGGATCCGGACCATCAATTTGCTTCAAAAAAATAAATTAAAACGAAACAAATTTTCTAGAAAAACTTACAATGTGTGACAGGGATGCTTGAATCAAATTCACTTGATTCTCAATCATTTTCACAGCGTGCAAATGCTCTGAACTCGTGATATTCCTTGATTTGTGACTTTTTATTCCCAATTGACGTGCGGCTATGTAATGCGCCATATGCACAAACACAAAACCCGTGCAGTAACTATCCCATCCCGCGTGGTGATATGAATTATTTTGTAGCACCATGTCGGTTTTTACCAGCGGCGTGTTGTAACTCATTGTTTTCCCGCGTCCATCCAGCCAGTATTCGTATAAATCCTCAAGTGTATTCCTCTTCCATTCTAGTTTCTTTGGAATTTTTCTAAGGACTTTAAAACTTAGGCATTTCGTGTCATATATCAGGGGAAAATCATTGTGTAGTTTACTTTTGAATTTTTTGTATGATATTGGAAGCTCGTCGAAAGTATTTAACAGTAATAACAAATCCATTAGAAGATTGTGTCCTACAATAGGTTTTTTTGATGAGACTAAAGCTTGATAAACACGAGAAAAACCAAGAGCAGATCTTATTGTGTTTTCTTTGAGATTATCCTTGATATTTAACTCTTTAAATTTTTTGTCAGTCACTTTAGTGAGTATTAAATCATTTTCTTCACTTTTTTCAGTCCATAATCTTTTATTTTTGCTTACATCTTGATAATTATGTCTTAAATGATTCTGTAGATGATACCATGCATCAATATCATATTTTAATTTATGTTTTAATGATTCAATAATCAATTTATCATCATTTTCATTATCTGACATCCACCAGGTGTGAATATTCTTGTCAATATCATCTAAATACTTCTCAATGACACAATCAATAGGCCAATTTTCTTCTTTTAAATCATTTTGTACTTGGAAATGTTGTTTTCTATTCAGGAAGGGTATCCCATAGTAGATTAATTTATTATAGTCAAAATCATGTTGGCTTAGGAACTGGAAACTTGTCGCTTGGATCTGCATCAGTAAATTGATGCTCATTATTGGTTTAGGCCAAATATAAAACGTGAATGTTTTAGATTGATAGATATTAACACCAGGATCAAAAGAAAATGCAGATAAACCGATTTGGATAGGTATTGTGTGTTGAACAGTTCGATATAACTTCGCATAACGGTCTTCAGGAGTATCAAACAAACTAAAAACAAATAATTTCATAAATATAATTTTTAAGGTTATAAATGTGTTGTACCTGCGTTGATCGCTGTTTTGCAGATACAAAGCAGTGAATTCTGTGTCGATTGCAACAAATCGCGACTTATTTATCGCTGTGATTATCTCCGGCAGCTGCTGTTCGAAGTTATCACACAGTATTTCACTCATTTTAATCGGACTACAACTTGTACACATCAAAATATCAGAGGTTAGGTTTGAAACTCGTGTGGTAGCGCTTTTTTGTTTTCGTTTATATTCATTAGCTTTAAGCGTTGAGAAAGCATTTTGAAGGTCGTAAATCTATTTAGAGATGGGATGACTTTGTTGTGACAGGTAGCTTAAGCATCTATTGTGTTTCGTGCACCACTGCAGCAGATAAACGGTTTTACTGCCTAGCACACAGAAAAAAAGCTTACCAACGCAAGAATTCATGGAATTTAGACGCACAAACAGATTTACTGCTTCAACGGAAAAATTATTGTACTTGTTGTGCACAAGTATTGATTTTGTTTTTAATTTATGAATATTTAATGTTTTTCAAGTGGAATTTATTTGAGGCGAAGAATTAATCGTAATCTAATAGTCGATAATGGCGCACTACGACAATTGGTAACAATTCCGTAATTGCATGTAATGTCAGCGGGCTAATTAACAGCATTGGCCCAATAAATGTCGTGCGATACGAGGGCCTTCGCGATGTCGGTGCGATTTTAGTCTTGGGTTGGACTCTCACCTGGTACCATATTACTTAATTATAGTTTTTGTGTGTTAAACAGTGACAATGTTCAAATATAATGTCAGAACGTATGAGAAAACGAAGAAAATGAGGGAGAAATACATCAGAAATGTAAGTAAAACGTCTAGAATAAATGATTGTAGGCTTATTTAGGATAGTAGTTTATAAAATCGATGCGTGCGTCGAATTTGGAAAGGAATTTCAACGTTTTATTTGATTTGAGGTCGTTGCTCGTGCAATCGAACGGACCAATCGAAGCGTGTTTTAATGGTCAAGGTAAACGTTTGACACCTTCACTACGCGAAAACGCGCATATTTTATTTCCGGTTTTTATATGCGATAAACACTTGGTGTTGGTGGGATATGCGTCGGCTCATCAAATGCCAATCAACGCACGTCGTAATTACATCTCGACTCAATCATCTCCAGCACTGGGTTTTCCATTTCCAAGCTTTCCACTCGTTTATTTCATGGTCTCATCACTATTTCTCGACATCTCTAGAGTAAAATTTAATTAAAATTTATTTTTACTATTTTTTCTGTCTACAAAAATATATTTTATATAAAAAATACCAAAAATAGAAAAAGATCAATTCTAATTTATCATGTCAATTTTTAGTTATTATGTTTTGACATGTTTCTGCTCGTCATTTCCGCTTTTTATCATTTTCTACATTTATTTCAATTTATTAACGCAGAGGAAATAAAATTACATTAATACATTGTCCGACCTTTAATATCACAAATGATGAACGCTCAAAGTGCGTAATTTTACAATTATTACCTCAATTATTATGCTGTAAATTAAGTTGTAAGTTTTAAGGTAAAAACACAAACAGAAAGTTCGTGTACTGTTAGAAAATGTAACCATCTACATGTTAATTTAATATTCCAAGTGATAAAGTCTCTCATTGTTGACTATGCAATGATGGTTTGTTGTACGTCTCAATCAATCCGCGTGCCTCTTTGTCCTCGTTCTTCGTTTGATTCGTACAATTCCGCCATAACTTGCATCGCTCGTAGGTAGATGGTTAGCCTATCTGCCGGGCATTTCTACCGTTTATTCTTTACGCAGTAAAATATGCAATGAGATGACTGAGATGAAGATTAGGCGCAATCGCATCGATTGGATGGGACGGGACGAAATTGAGTGGGTTTAACGCACACCGACGGCGTTTATTTATGGTTTAGGATTTGAATTTTCATCTTGTGAATTGGCCATTCATGCAAATGACTAGGTAGATCTTAAAATGCACTCGAATTGAATTCAATTTCCTGTTTGATTTGATTTTCTAAGTGTTTTCGTTATTACTATAAAATTGAAGTTTTTAATTGATTGTGTTGTTAATATTGTGTTTCTCTTTGTTGCAGGTGAGTTGACTTTCTCTTTTATTGCAATAATAACACAATCGGTGCGAAATCGTTCTGATTACACATTGATTTCATTATTGGTGAGTGAGTTGAAATCATAACTCGTACAATACGCAGAGAATATTTTAAAATCCGTCTAAATTTAGGTTAGCGGGAATTTGTTTACTTCCTTTATAGGTATTTTTACGCAAGTTAATGAGCGCACGTGCGTTTTCAGCAGCGGAGAGGTGAATGCTGAATTTAATGCGCAAACAAAACGCGTTTATTTCGTCTCGGGAGTGCGTGTGCAAGAGAGGATGCCGCCTATTTTTAGCGCGTTTCATGGTTTCATGATGTTTCCAGGCAACTTTCAAAACTCTTTACACGTTTCTCGCATAAACGAAGGTCAATTTGATGTGTAATTTGAAATTGTTGCTTAAATTGTTGATTGCGGATAGCAATTTTGAAATGGCAAAAGCCTCCACTGGCGTAAACACATTTTCAACGCCGCCCAAATATAGATTACTGATATACAATGTGTTCTCACATGGACAAAGCTTTGAGTTGGCGTATAAGCACCGAACATATGGTTAATAATAGAATTTCAAACGTATGTGCTGCAAAGAATGTATTCCAATTCCTGGTGGCGCGGCTGGAAAACATTCCGCGCACATCCGATGCATTGTGGGCCGAATTGCGAGCTTGGAGCAATCGCTCGATTACACAGCGCGCGCGCAATGAAGCCTACTTATTCTTAGGCTTAGAGAGGTTTATGCAGCACACAGCGCATTCGACGAGCAATTCAGCCGAGCGTTATCGCATTCTTCAGCGGGCCGGCGACGACGACGACAACGACTTCCTCGTGCTTGTCATTCGATTCAAATTTTACTCCAAATACCATTTGCGCAAAATTAGGACGGTTTAAATTAGAAATTGATGACGCCTTTGTTTTTGCTATGCAGGCAGAAAAAAACATAAATCGTACGTGATGTTTATAGCACGGGAATTTTTACATTTATTTATGTTTATGTTGATAGTTGGTAATGATGGTAATGCGGCAACATGGTTTTGCTATTAACACATTAACGAGATGGTAATTCATCTTAAAAATATACACTTGGACCTAGTTTATATTACACATCTAGATTATCAAACAAAATTTTATATTTTTTTTGGTTTTAAAGAAAATTTAAATTTTTAAAATTTAGTTACTTGAATATTAATTATACAATACCTATTGATAAGAATTTGAGGCGTTATCGGTGCGGTAATATTGAAATGCGGTTTCCTCCGCTGGAAGCTTGTAAGTTTTGTTGACACGCGCATATTTTACTACACGTGTGACGCCGATAGAGGCAATAAGGCATCGAGGCAGGGCAAAGAAAACACACCTTGTTCTTGTTACGGCTGTTATCGCCATGCCGGCGCGTTTCTTGTTGGTTTAGTGGGAATATTACCACACACTGCAGCCGCTGCACACAATAGGCGTTGATGGACAACACAAAACATACACGTTCCATATTGCATTCGCTGGCAGCATGCATAATTGAGTCTAATTGATGGTTGAGAGTCGCCCACATTGAATATATTGGTTACTTTCTTGAGCCAAGGAGTCAAAGACACAAGAAAAGAAACAATAAGTTTTATTGACCAAAGAAAACATAAAAAAATCAAGTTGTTTCAAGGGATGTGAATTTTTAATTGAATACCGGTGTTTCGGAATTTTTTATTGTTAAAATACCGGTTAACCGGCATTTGTAAAATTAAAAATATTAATAATCTATTGAAATATCGGTTTTTCAAAAAAAAATACCGATATACCGATGTTAATACCGGTATTTCGGTATTTTTTATATTAAAATATCGGTTAACCGGTAATTCTGGCATTGGTAAAATAAGAAAATTTAATGAAAAATTAAAATATAGGTTTTTAAAGAAAATAACCGGTATTCCGATATTAATACCGGTATTTCACACCCGTAGTACCAACTAAACTTCCCCTTTTTATTTGTATTGAGGGTTGCATTTATTTGTATTGAGGGTTGCATTTACAAATGTGAACCATTTAAACATTGTGTCACTGTTCAACAGGAACAGGAAGAACACATCACACTGACGTGTTGCTATCATATCCTCCGTCCCCAGTAGCAGATTTTAAAAGACTGCAACAGGGTGACTGTTTTGTGCTGCGTAAGTTCGTCGCCCTTCCCTGATAGATAAAAGCTGCGGAAGTTGCGGTTGTGAATGGAAAGGGTTGTTAACTTTGAAGGCACTTTGAAGGGGGCCGTCCCCAACATGGACCACCAGTGTGATGAGAGATGGGATCAATCATGCATGTGCAAGCAGTGCGCGAGTGCACAAAGTGTGACTACTAACAATGCGACAATGTGACGTAGGCGTAGTTGTAGGTACATAATCGGATGTAAACGAACTCGGGGGCTAATGGACCGGAAAATTTGGGGGGTGCCGGCACTAGGTGCAAAATTTGCTGCTCATGTGGAGTGAAGTGGAAACATTTAATTGCGATAGTTATCAAGGTCATTTGTATTTTTCAAAAATCTATATATATATAAATGAATTGCTGTTCGTTAGTCTCGCTAAAACTCGAAAACGGCTGAACGGATTTATCTTATCTTGGTCTTGAATTATTCGTGGAGGTTTAGGGAAGGTTTAAGAGGTGAGAAAAATTCGAATAATTGCCGGGAAAATTCTCAAAACAGCTCTTTTCTATAGAATAAAATTTGACATTGAGATTCAATCATAGTTATAGTTAAATAGTTGAATTCGAGATGGCGCGCTGAAGTGCATTATTGACAAAACTTTATAGAATTCATTTCTTTAAATTAAAATTGCTAATCTTATTGATAGAATTGACTCTTACTACGATTATGTCCAGAACAAGAGAGTAAAAACGAATTACATTTTTATTAAACACTGCCGGAACGAAGTCGCGGGCAACAGCTAGTTTAAAATAAAATAATATTTGTTGTAAATATTATTGAAGTTAAAGTTAACTTGGAAATTGTTTAGACTCTTGAGGCAGTTAGGAAATTGACCTAGTAAATAATCGCGTTTGATCTTTAGTGTTAACGAGTTGTTAACACTTCGTTAATTCTGTTTGCGTCGATTTCGTCGGA